TCTTCCTATGGAAGCTGAAAGACTATATTTATTACACGTCAGAATCAGCTTAATGCATGGGCAAATCTGAACTACACTGAAGCTATACTCAGCAGATCGGTACTGACCAACTAGATTACTGTGTTTCAAGGGATCAATGCCTCACAGTCTTACTGACTGAATTACAAATGAAAGAGAGAAAAGACTGATCAACTATAACACAGAAATTAAGTTAGGGATGCCACAAGGGTTTATGAATAGTCAAAATATGTGCATTTGATGCAAAATGTTAAAGATGAATTTTTTAGATATTAAGGTTTGGAAATAATTCTATGTAAGAAGATCTTACTGGAACAGAATTCAACAGATGATCTTCAAACAAATATATTGGCACAAAATAAGAAAATTTAATATGCCTTATGTCTAGTAAAGAAAAAGGAGCAGGAAAGCAATAAATTTTCAGGAATATCAAAATAAAGCATCTTGGTTTGGATCAATCAAAACAGTGGGTGTATAACTCTTCACCCATTTAATTTTTCATTAAAATTGAATGAAGTATATTATTTTGGAGAATGAAATCTTCCATTTTGAAAACACAGTGTCTTAAGAGTCATTACATCTGGGGCAATTATGTTGCATTATTCAAAATTCAAATCTAAAGCTTAAGAGGGGAGCTCTTTTCATATCAAGTGACCCAGTATGAAGAGCAAGAAAGAGGACCTTTAAGCTTTGAGTACTCACTTGCTTTTGCTACCTTGAACCTGAAAACTGTAGGGTAAAAGATAAACGATCTGAAGAGGAACAGGGACTATCCCTAAAAAGCACATGTAGCCCTGGAATTAGACAGATATCACTGAGCCACCTTTGAGTCAAAATGTTAGTGAAAAATCTTTTCAAAATTCACAGTTTCTCTTAATACAGTTCAGCAGCATGAGACTCTGGCTAAAGTAGCTGTCTTGTATAAAGTAGATGAAATGGGAAATTCCTAGGAAAGGATAACATCCCTACTAGTCACTGACTGCAAGCAGGATGAAAAACCCATTTTAACAGACTGCAGGTCTTACCACAATAAGAAATGAAGAATTCTCTGTTCATAGAATCATAGAATCATAGAATCACAAGGTTGGAAATGACCTATAAGATCATCTAGTCCAACCGTCTGTTATACTAGGTCAAGTTGTTTCAGAGTTTGTATCAGCTGCTTAGCAGAAGAGGCTGCTTCCTCTTCAGGTAATCAAGTAAGGAGGAAAGTTGTGGTTCTCCTTTAAGTATGACTGACACGTCAGATGATGCCTGACCCTAGAGGAGCACAGGCATAGAAAGACCTGTATTTCCTCCAAAAAGAGCATGTCACTGCCAGTGACATCTGCATGCAAGAATACAGAGTACTTCTAAACAAAAAGGGTGAAGGAATTTCCATTTGATTGTGAAACAAAATTTTCTTTTAGCAAAATTTTGAAAATGCTGTGGCTTCATGAGAAAAAAAGAAAAAAACAAAATTACTTCAAATATTTAGAGAACTCTGGTTAAACTTCTTTCATTTTGAAAATTCTTTACTATAAATAATATCAAAATGTTGAAATCTCTACTTGATGCCAAACTCATGAATAATGAGTAATGTGAAATAAGAAGTTCATGTGGATTATTAAAATATATTAAAATGCAGTGTTGGAAAAATACATTGTTGAATAAAGCTGAATTTGGATACAAACATATGCATTGCTATAAAAATGGCCAAACAAGTATTAGTTTTTAGTGAGACTTTTTTTTTTGGTGGCATGTATGCACCAAGCAGGGCTAACAACAGCTTCTTACCTGCTCAGTTAATTCTGGTCCATTGACACGAGCTTGCATGAGAGCATCATTAACAAATGAGTAAAAGTTTAGAAGCACATGCTCAACGTCATATGTTCCATGCATAGCTCTTCCAAGGACTGAATATATACCTGCCAATGAAGGTCAACTTCTGCCATGTAGGCTAAGCAGCCTCGTATGACATTGAGGCAGTAGCCCATACAAGGCTTACCCAAAATAAGACCTTGGCAATGGGGACAGTACTGCATTCTCAGTAACGCTCTGCTGCAGTCTTTAGAGAAATGCAGATGGCCTGCTGTATTGATTTCAGAGCCTGCAGGAAATGCTGGCTGGGTAACAGTGATCTTCCCATTCATCCTATGACTTTATTGGGAATGTTATCAAAGGGCCTGATATCTCTTCGTGCCATTTGGAGGCAGTGTGCATATTCCAGTGTAACATCAGTCAGACCAGGGTTAATCACGTGATTGTAGACCACTGGGAACAGGGTGTCAAAAAATCTGTTGACAAATTCCTGTGCTGATGTCTGTGCCAAATACAAAGAGTGCAGCATCTGTGAAAAACTCCTGAACACGTGTAGCAGCCTCAGCAGCCATGCTTCTATATGCATTGCAGAAAAGTGTGCTTGTGTAATTCTCAGAGAGTTTGATGAGCATTTCAAAGGTTTCTGTTATTAAAAAAAAAAAAGTTTAAATAATCAGAAATTAGCAAAAGAACTTAAAGCAATCACACAAGGATTGTTTTACTTCTACTTCTTACTTTTCATTTATCCTGAAAGCATTTTTGCAAAGACATTGACTTAGAATTTATGAGGAGATAACTACACACAAACTATGAAAACTACATTTCCTATTTAGACAAACACCTTACAAGTAATATTACAACAGACTAATAATCCATCCATTTTCTTGGAAGAATAAATTATTAATTAAGTAGAGTCTAAACAATTATAAAAGAAAATAAGTTATTAAGCTGCTAAATATAATGAAGCATTACTGTAACTGTCTACATATATACATACAATAGATCTCCCAACCCACAACACATTCTGCAAATTGCAATGATACTGAAATGCTTTCAGTCATTCTCCTTCAAATCATATCTCTATCCCTTAAATGGATGGGCAAAAGTAACATTAAACAATAGAAACAACTCTTTCATCCCATTAAAACTTAACTTGTAAAAGATAAAAAAGCTCATCCTCTTGATGAAAGAAGAAGAAAGGAAATGTATTAAGCACACATGAGAACATATTTTTAAATAATGCTTATTAGTCTGGCAATTACTATTGTCGAAGTGATGGAAGATTCAGAATTGCTCTCAAAGCCTGAATATCTCAGCAGGCTGTAAGTTTCTTTCATTCATTTGAAACTGAAGTAGCTATCTTTGTACTAACATTTTGCACTAATGAATTTCCCTTCAGAAGCAATATATGACAGAAGACAAAAATGATAGACTGGGGTGGGAGGAATGGGGCATGAGATGCAGTGCTATAAAGGGACCAGTGTTATAAGAGGGACTACAGCTCGGTCTTCAAGGGAAAATGACACATCTGGTATCCTGGACACCTTTACAAGTTCTCATCTATTTCTATTTTTTCAGTATTTTAAATGGAACTCTGCACAGAAATAAAGTTGAGGAAAAGCATTAAGTACAACCAATTCTGTGCAAACAGTGATGCTAAAAAGAGGAAGAGTCAAGCACCATCAAAATATTTCAGGTAATTATTAAAGCAATGTGAATTCTAATGCAAAGGATAGCAGAACCTCCAGAATAATTTTAATATAATGACCAAGATTTGCTATCACTTCTTTAATATGTATCTATACATAAGAATAAATGTCTTATATTCCAACAAAAAGCTTGTTCCAGTCTATGAAATAACACTCAGTGGCTCCAGCAGGTTTCAAGTGCAGTTTTTGGGAAAAGATCACACAGATCACAGAGAGGACATATTATTTAACTAATATGCTTAAACTTTTTATGCATTGTTTCCTCCAATAAGAATGATATACTTGCTTCTAATTCAGAGTAAGAGTATGCCATTGACTCTATTGCTCTGATATCTATTATCCGTTAATTCTGTTTCAGAATTCACATGCCCTCAAAAAGGTGGAAGGATTTTGCTACCTCAGTCTTCTTCATTCCTCTAACATGTGCATGAATAAAGAAAAATGTAGTGCCAACAGTAATGATTAGACAGATTAAAGTTTACTTGGTGCAGGGGAAAAGCGTATTCAATTTGTCACCAATTTCACTATCATGACACACATGTACAAGCCTCGCTCATAAAGTGAAATTCTCTACAAGCACTTACATGATAAATACCACAGGAAAACCTTTGATCTAATTCCTCAAAGTTAGGACTCAAATTCCTTAAAGCTAGGACTCTACATCCAAGGATCTCACTGTTATGGTTTTATGATTTTTGCTTATTGGTATTCCTCATCATAACATTACGTAGTGCACTGGGAATTAAAGAGTTAATGCTCCAGTTCTGGGTAGTTGTCCCAAAAGAGAAGAACTACATCTCCCAGAGGACTTCATGTTCAGAGAGGAGATATAACCTCTAGCAAGGTTACCTGACCTCTCTTTTCCCCTTTTCGATCATCAGGCTCTCTCCTGCCGCTCACCCCAATCGCATGTCTGTCCCCAATATCAGAGTAAAGCCTTTTGGCTTTTGGACACTCTTTCTCTCATTATATTTGATTTATTAGTTTTGATTCTAATTATATTGTAGTATACTGTATTATAGCGTGTTATCTTGCATTCCGATATCTTATTTAGTAAATTTGTTTGTTTCTCCTCAGATTATTGCCACTGTTTTGTTTTGGGGCCCATCTCTCTACCCTTTTTCCCTTATTCTCCATTCTGGAGGTGTGGATCTGTGGATCCCTCAGCCCTACTAGTCACAGAACCAAGCCAAGTCAGCCTGTAAACCACTGACACCCACATACGCACTCAACCTATTCAACAGAGGAATTCAAAGCATCTCATTGCTCATCATGTGGAAATGTTGGCTGACTAATTTGGAGATACAGTAGAGCATAGCAGATTGATCAAGATGATCATCTAAAAGCAACTGGACTGAGGATCACCACCAGAAGGTAGTTTGGACACCTAGCTCAAATGTAGGCACATATACAGACAGCTCTACATATCCTACTACAGTAATGACCCACGTTTAATGGCTGAAACTAGAAATGCAAAGAGAGTACAGACCTAACAGAAATTTGCCTGATTGGCTGAAGAGTGTTCTGTACCAATTTCAATGGTAGACATCATTTATCTGCCTTTCCAGTAGGACATGGTTATGCTGGAGGTATTGTGCTACTTCTGACAGTTTCATGTGGATATTGCTCTTAAATTGGTAATAGATGGCTGTGTCTGGACAACTGAACTAAATTTCAGACATCCGGTTATCACCAAATGAATAACGTTTTATTTAAAAGGTTGGAGTGGACATAGAAACATTTAAATCAATTTTATTCTTCTTTTAGATAGTTTAAAATAAAGCACAAAGAATATTTAAGACTCCTAGGAAAACATCTATTTTTGTAACTGTTGATCCAGTCTTTAACACAAATTTTGCAAATGCTTCAGATGAACTTTCCTGAAGAAAGTAATATTATTTAAATAATGATGTTATAATAATCTATTTAGAATGACATTAATAAGAGTTTTATGATCTTTTTCAATTTTTTATTATTATTTCTTCACAGATGAAAATCATAAAGTATATGATCTAAAATGTCTGCTACAATCCATGGCTGCAATATCCTATCCTACTACCAAGAGCACAAATATTAGATATAAAAAGAAATCATGCTACACATGGATAATCAATATATTTTGCAATGTAGTCAAAACAATAACAAATGTCCAAGATTGAATTACATTCTCAGTGCCCCAGCAACCCACAGATGAATGGGTACAATAATCAGCTTCATAATTTGCTTTTTTTTTTTTTTTTTTTTGGCTGCATTTCTGCTTTTCTAGGAAGTATATGATAATATTTGCCACTTGTGCTCACAATACTTCAACATGCTTTTAATTGTCATTTTAGGACTTTATTTTTTTTTCCTACAGTTTGTTACTTGGGATTATTCTACTGGCATGTGTCCTGCTTTATAACTGCTAGCAGTATTCCAGAAGTTTGTTTTGTCCTCCATCAGCTTGAAAAGTAACAGTGTAAAGCAGATCTACATTTACTTAAAATGTTGAGCGGTTCCTTGTGAACATCTACAATGGCAAACTATATCATTTACAACACTATCAGAGACTTCAATGACTATCAAGTTATGCTGATTCTATACCGCATGCATAGCATAGATTTAAAATTGTGTTTCTGTACATCAATAGGCCAAGGTTAACATCATTTATCTAATATCTTAATTACTGAACCACATAAAATAAGTGGTAAGTTTTCAATCTGTATAAAACTAATACATATAAAAGACATCTTAAATATAGCCAAGATGACCCAGACAAGCTCTTTGCACTGTTATTAAATGCTCACTTGTTTTTAACTGCTTCTTTAATTCACAGGCGCACGCAGATGCTTAGTGACTCTTACCTCCATTCTCTATGAGATTTCTGTCATAACCACAATACAGTATCCTATGGATACCTTCTGCAGCATTATTGTGTTGTAACGTCTACTGTTTACCATGGGTAATATGCGATTTTATTTTTCTTTTGCTATAGTTAATATGATTTGTGAATTCCTAAATGAAAAATCACAACTGTCAATATATCAACTCATTAATTTTTGAAAAAACAGTACTATCTCTCCTCCTAATTTAGTTAACAAATATAAAAACATAAGACTAGAGAAAAAAAAAGTAGATGAACACTTCTTATTTTTACATGCTACATTTATTCAATGGATTCTTCTACCTGTATATGTTTGTTTGTTTGTTTTTGTGGACAATAGCATATTTAACAAAGTGATCATGAAGTGATGTAAAATAACTACCAGACTAAAAGGGCTTTTTTTTAAAAAAAATAATAGTATCTGTCATTCACTTCCTTTAGCATTTCTGTTTCTGAGAAACATAGATAATTCTAAACTATAAAGAAATCATAATAAAACCAGTAGTTTAGTGGCTTTCAAAGAAGACATAAAATCATACATATGCCTCATTCACTATTAGATTGAAAAGTGAGAAAAAAAATATCTTGTTTTTCATTCCTGGATATTGATCTGGTAAAAGGATCATTCTCCCTGCACTTATTAGGGAAGCTACTGTGTTTCTTTTATCTTGCATTTGGTAGAATGGCCCTGGCCAAGGAGAAATCCCAGTTCATTTTTCAGTCTAGCTATCTGGCCTATGGTATCACTGAACAAGAAATCAAACCCAGGATTTCTGGTAGTAAATGTACGTTGTCAAGATGACATCTACTACTCAAAATTCCTTTAATCAACTATTAAGATTTTTCAGAGTTTATCTCATAAATTACTACCAGATGTTTGTTGGCAAAATGCTTTTTAATGACTATTAATGTTTAATTAGAGCTCGTGCAGTAGTGCCAAGAACAGTAGATGTTAAATTCAAATGTAAATCAATAATTTTAATGTAGTATGAATAATTATGCAACTAAGGGTATGTGTAATTATTTCCTTGAGATTTATATCTTAATGTTTTTTAATCTTCACCAAATCCC